TAATAATAATAATAATAATAATGCATTACACTGGCTGTAAAACGTATAGAAGTCGTTGTTAAGGGAGAATTGGCTCTCTATACAAATGCGATCTATTATAGGCCCCTAATTATTTATAGACCTTGGCTTATACCACAGAATTCTACTTCTAAGTGTAGAATTCTGTGGCTTATACATAATTCATAGCATCTCTGTACATTTTTATTGCAGTTGTCTTGAATAATACTAATAATTATGTAGATCATTGTTTGCTTGTATATTATGCGGATTGTGGACTTGACCAGGACGTGTTCTAGGATGAAAAAGAAAAGTACTAGATCTAGCAAACTTTGTTTCCAAGATAAAATTATTCTGATACATATTGCACTTTTTTCACTCTCTATAGTTATAGCCTATGCATAATGTATATAATGCAAAAATAGATTGGTGTTGTTGTTGTTGTAGTAGTAGTTGTTGTTGTTGTTTGTTTGTTTTTTTGCAACACTTGACTACAATTTTAAGTATTATTCTTACTTTAAGAGAACTTTATACTTTATAACCTCGGAATGCTGCAGAATGAAATTGCGTTAATGGTGTAAGGCTGGTTTGCCTATTTTGAGAGGATTTATATACTGGAACGTAAGTGTATTTTGATTTTCAAAAATTGAAGCCTATTTTAGTTGCTTTTTCCATTTTGAAACTTGTTTCCTGTTTTGTGTTCTTTTAGGTGGTTACTACAATGACCAGACGAACAAGACCAGTATTACAGACTGTATGCCATGCCCGTCCCGCAAATACTGTCCCCGAGGTTCCACAAATGACGGACTTGATTGTCCTGCTGGGTTTTACTGCACAGCGACGCAAGAATCTGGCTTTCAGAATGCCTGCCCCATTGGAACTTTTAGCTCCCTCACTGGCTTAGAAAGTAAAATATTTTCTCTAATTGTAAATTAAACGTTTGCTGAAACAGCAATTAGAAGTGTTAATTTTTACAAAATCCCTTTGTAGCAACTTGTTGGATATTTTGCTTTTCTCCAGAATGCCATACATACTGCGTGTAGGCCTGTTGTTAATAATATCTATCATTTTTTAAGTCAATGAACTACCTCCATATGCCCGAAAAACCGATGCGAATTTCGGGTGCGAAATTCGCGTGCGAACTATTTTTTTCGCGTCAACCTTTTTGTCATTGTGTAAATCCATATACCGGAATTTCGCAGGGCCGAATCCGAAATTCGCATGCGAAGATTTTGTTTCGCACGAGGGAGCGAAACTTTTTTCTTCGGCACCCGAATTCTTCGTGAAGTGGGTGGGGCTTATTTCCCGCCAAATCTACTTCAAAGGAACGAAGCAGCATAGAAGCACTAGGTAAGTGGGGAAAACGTCGAAATGTTGATTTCCTTGGTTCGAGAGAGAAGTGTTAAAACTAAGACTGAACAGAGGTGTTTATGTTCAAGGTGGCTGCCATTTCCTTGGCAACCACGTTTTTTTAAGCTTGTGGGAAACTTTCGGGAGTCTATGTAATCTAGATCTAGATATATCTATGCTATCATTTATCGTTTAAATTATGTAATAACAAAAAAAAATAGCATTTCACTTAACCCCCCCCCCCCCTTAAATGCACTTGAATACAACCTCTAACATACATTAATTATAACTTAAGATTGCTGTCAGTGCCGCAGCCACATCAGCCAGCGCTGTCGGTGTTAGGACCGATCGAAACTTCGAAAAGAAAACGACCCAAGAAAGCAAAGCTAATGAAGGAAAGGCCATCATCAAGTCTGGACAAAGCAATTTAAAGCCTGCTTTCGTAGGAACAGGAGTTCTAGCTGCAAAATTCTCTCGTTTTCAACGTAGAGTGCTTGCTCTGACTGAACTGGTGTCGTGATTTCAGTTAGATGACGGATACGAATTTCGGGTATATGGAAGGAGGGCTCTTTTTTCATCGCACGCGAATTTCGTGTAACCCGAAGTTCGCATCGGTTTTTCGGGCATATGGAATGCCAGCTTTACTCATTCTTCTTCCTCGTTCTCACTCGTGTTATTTCTTCTCTTGTCTAGAAACTAACATTATTTTTAAAACCCTTGATATTGCTAGTGTGCCTGTTCATAATATCTTTTAGTAGCTTTGGCAATACTTTGGAACAAATTAATTCAGGGTGTGCTGTTGCACAACTTCTGTAGTTCGTTCTCATGTTGACATATTTGGTCAAATTACGTCTAACAAAATTTTGAGGTATATGTGTGGGTTTTGTTGTTATAAAAAAGTAATAAAGCTGTCTTTGAATTGGGTGGCCACTTATCTTTGTATTTATACTAGATCTATTTGTTAACTCAGTGTCTCATTTGATTTGTGCTTTCGTCTGTAAGTCCCCCCAACCAACAGATCAGTGTTTTTATAGCCTAAAGATATAGGAACCATGCGTTTTCATAATATGTAAAGTATGGAAATATTCTTTCGTTTTGGGGAAGTAATGCTTTTTAAAGAAATGATTCAATTGATTTGTTGTAATTAATTTTTGTCAAGTGCTTATTTAGTAGGCCTACTCAGTGCTGAAGTTTTTCATTTCATTTTCAAAAATGTTTGTAAGCAGTGGTTTTGTTCTTCCCCAGAGATGAAGAAGTAAAATCAGTTTTTTGACAAGTTTTAGTTTGTTGTCAAATTGTTGTTGTGTGAAGAAAAATAGATGAGAGTTATTTCAGCTCATTCTTGCTATAGGGACACGACTTGTACAAAGATCTGCTTTTGGACATGGTACTGCAGCCAATGGAAGGGTGAAGTTATCATTATGGTCCATCTCAAGATAGGAGAGATAGGAGGCAAAAAAGTCAAATATTATATTATATGCATCACCTGTCAGTCCTTAGGCACTGCAAACAGCTTCTGTGATACACTTTATGTTCCATCATCTCAGGGCAATATAAGGTCAAGTCATGTTAACTAAAACTCATTTCATATGTAGGCTACAATCTGGGTTTTCTTTTCAAAGCAGGTAACATCCACCTCTTGGTGCTCATTTGACCTTATGCGGTCGCGAGCACCGTAAAACCATAGGCCTACTAATTTATTTTTTTTAAAGCAGGTGAAGCAATTTTTCTGATTACCCCTCGCAGATGGCACAGAATGTGAACCATGCCCGGCAGGGTTCTACTGTCCGGCCGGTTCGGCATCCGAACCAACAACAGCTCCCACCCCGTGCCCGCCAGGTTCGTACAACCCATTGCCGATGACTGGACACCCTACCAACTGTATCATGTGTGACCCGGGCTTTGCCTGTCCGCAGTACAACCAGACTGCAGCCACAATGCCTTGCAAAGAGGGTAAGTTTGCCTAGTTTCATCTTCTTTAGTTTAGTTTTAGTAACTTTTTTACGGCACTTGCAACACAATAAGATCGTATAAGTGCCAAAGATTAGAGGTATGTGTAACAAGAGAATAACAGACATGAAAAAGAAGGAGGAGAGATATGTTGTTATCAATCCAGGTGGTCACTTCCTATGTCATCAATCACTTCGATGCGACAGGCGTTTTTGATGTCAGATGAGCAGATGGTGAGATCAGGCCGGCTGAGAGTCAAGTGGGCTCTGTTAAGTAGGGTAGGAGTGGAGTTAGCATTTTGCAACACAGAGAGGTTGCTGGTTTCACAAAGCTCCTCGATCTTTTGGCCTGTGCTGTTGTAGCTGGTGTAGCCCCATTCAGGGGAGTGGCCATTGAAGTCACCCGCACAAATGGTTTTTCCGTAGTTAGTTGACTGTAGATCAGATAAGTCGCATGTTATCTGTGGAGGGCTGTAAACATTGTAAATTGTAAACTTCCTACCAATATGCCATATGGTGGCCTTCTGGGTATCAGTTGGTTGGGCAGACGACAAGTGTACGACATCTCCCTGAACATCGTTCCGCAGGTAAGTGACTACACCGCGGCATCCTGTGCATGTGCAGGCGTAACTGGTGTATCCTGTGAGGTTCAGGTCCGTACCTTTGTGTAGGGTTTCTTGAAGGAGGGCAACATGAATCTGCCTGTCCTTCAGGACTTTGAGGAGTTCTGTCTTCTTGTTCCTCAAACCACAGATGTTGAGTTGCAAGAGGTTAAGGGAACTCTTCTTCTGGTTGGGTATGAAATTGGCTCTCTTCTCCCGCCGAGAGCTTTTCTGTGCTGGTTTAGCACTGTTTCTGTGTGTATCACCAGTAGCTGACTTGTCGCTCAGAGCAGCCTGGTGATTGCCCTGCCTGGAGCGGACCTTGTTTAACGAGGCGACGTCCGAGCTCGCATGTAATTCTTTTCTTTGTGTCATGGCATTGAGGACTGGGGTGTCTGTGGACTGCCTGCCCACCCTGAGAAGGGGCCATGCACGTTGAGGATACGTGGTGCAAGGGTTTTCATGAGGCTGGAAAGACCTAACTGCCCTGTGACCGTGTAATTCCGGTAGGGTTCACGTTGCCCATTCCCCGCCACCAATGGCTACTGGCTATAGTTGTCTACTCTTGCATGAGGTTTCGGCCAAGTGAGAAAGCCATTGGATCGTCACGTCCTGGGTCGTTGTGCCTTTACTAAGAGGTCCACGGTCAGAAGGCAAGTCAGGCACTCCGCTCGATCCATCCTTGCATCCAGACCTCTCCAGACTGGCTGGTTTCTTCTCAGCCACAGAGGGTGTGTTGATAAAGGAGGGGGGAGGGGTTTGGTTTGTTGGCGCCAACAACTCGCCATTCGCCAGAGCCGTGTCAGTGGAAACAGGGACCGCCACGGGCAGGTACGGTTGGCTGGATTGGGAGAAGCTGTTTGAGACGCTTAGGCATTTCTCAATATTTAAATGAGACCCATCACCAGTCCTTGATCCCCAAGGAGGAGAGATAAGACGACAGATGTTTGATAGGAAAGACGAGGCAAATCACACCAGAGCACCTGCCAAACTGCCAACCACCCACAGTGTATAATATATTTGAAGTCAGGAGCATAATATTATTATTGATATCTGATATTGTGCGAGAGAGTGAGTTTGATGTTTGCGCCGCCCATTCTCACTTTATGTAGGCCTATTACTTTGCGCAAGTCAAACATCTGCTGTAAATTATTCTATCCTTTCCATATGGGGCTTCATGAATGAAAAATGCTGAAATCAAGAGAAAAGCCTGCAAGTTGCATACGATTATTATAAGTGGAAGTGGAGCTTTTGAAAGCTCAAAATTGTGCAAACTTTTCTCTGCCAAAATTGGTCTCATTGGCCATAACAGAAGCCTCAAGTCATCTCAGCCATTAATTTTCTATTTTACTTTTAATATTCTCCGCTGCAGATGCATTGGTTATTGACAGATGAACTATTATTATTATTATTATTATTATTATTATTATTATTATTATTATTATTATTATTATTATTATTATTATTATTATTATTATTATTATCATTGTTGTTGTTGTTGCTTTTATTGTTATCATTATTTTATTATTATTATTATGATAATAGTAATGGATTGAATTAACATCCAATTCATAATGATATTATACAATCTTTTCAGGCCATTATTGTCCAGAGGGCACTATACAGGACGACCAGTTTGACTGCCTGCCTGGAACATTCACCGGCCAAACAAACTTGACTTCGTCCACCGAGTGTGACCCTTGTCCAGAGACTTTGTACTGTGGCTTTGGCACAGGTGAGGACATTTGTGCATAGATGTGAAGAATTATTATTTGTGAATACACAGCTCAGGGTGTTTTTTCCATTTATGCCTTTCATGTTTGAAGGTACTGTACTTGATTATTGTTGAAGTTCATCTCCGATGTTGTGTTTAGCTTTACTTTTTTGTTAGCTTTACTTTTCTTTTCATATTCAATTTTAATTAGAGTAAGTTTAAAGTTTTATGTATACCTGAATGGGTTTTTAACGGTCCTGTACAGCCAAGAAAAATATCTCTCTTGGTTTATAATAAAGTAGGCCTTTTACCTTATCTTATCTTACGTTGCTTTGGAACGTGCGCTTCTAGTGTTTTAGGAGTTGTAGTAATACTCTTTGCCTTTGTGCAAAAAAACGTGAGATTGACTCCTGTGGGGAAAGTTTAGTAAGTATTTTGGTCTTGCTTCTTTGTTGTAGTAAACCCGCACAGCTGAGCCCTGTTTGGCTGTGACCTGCAAGTTAATACAGCCCTCCTTAGCCCTCTGATTGATTTTAGCTCTTTCAGTGCTACAGATGAGAATACTCGCGAAACCTGGGCCCCCTCCCACACTCTAGTGCCGAGTATTTTCGCATTCTGGCTAGCTATCATTATAGAAAGAATTACTCTTTCTAATCCATACCATGTTATTTGAACTTAGGTTGATGCACAATGGGAAAGATCAAGGAGACGTATTTTCTTCTCGAACAGCCCTTGAGCCCCGTAGTTTTGATTGATTTCTCTGAGTAGACCTAATTTCATGTTGCCATAACAAAACTGCCCAGTATAGGAGGGGAGTTTACTGCTGGAGCGTTCAGCATTGAATGAGCTAAAACGGGCATATAGGCTGCATTTCCAACAACTGTGATCGTTTGGTGGCTCGGGTAGGAGATTTTTAGCTCTTTCTGAATGCATTAGCCTAGCATGGTTACTTTGTAATTTCCCCCCCACATGTTATCAGATCAATGGCTTTTGATAGAAATTAATAGTTTTAGCTGGCTTTGTCAATAGCTTCATCATACTTCTAGGCTCAATCAGATCATTTTAGTGAGAGTACAGAAGAACTGAGAAAAAAGGAAAGAGAGCAGAGATGATTCACCTGAACTAGTGTGGTTGTATTCCTCAACACTGAACATAGATGTCAATGAGTTTTGTTTCCTGATAAGAGGTGTCAACTTCTTATGGTGTGTATTGGATCTACTGTTACCCCTCATAGGGCTATGGGAATCTTTTGTGGGAGGTAAATTAGTGTACTTTGAGAAGGAAAAGAAATATGTTACAATTGCTGTCAAGTTCTTTCAAACAAGTTGAGCTAAATGGTTGAGGGAATACGTTTCTTTATTTTTTCCTGGAAAAAAAAATAAATTGCCACTTTGTGATCAATACCATATCTACATTGCATAATATTGCTACAGGAATGGAATATACAGAATGGTTAACAAGTGCAAAACTATCAAGTGGTTCAAATGTTGCTGGACATCTCTTGTTTTGAACCCTTTCTATAACAAGTCTTCGGCAAAGTTGTAGTTTCTTTTTGTGTTAAAGAAACTTTAAATAAAAGTTTTGATATGTAGTGTGTAGTGCATTTTCCAAATTTTTTTTTTAAAAAAGCTTATTTTAGTGTCTGAAGCATTCATCTGGCTCTCATAGAGATTAGTCCCTTTATTGTACCGTTTACATTAGCAGCAGCAATGTGAGCATTTTTCTCAAGGCTAGTTTTTTTTATGATTCTCACTCATAAAATGTGTGCTTTGTTTCTTGCTTCAGGTGTGACCTTCAACCCCCCTCAGCCATGTGGTCTGGGCCACTACTGCCCGCTTCAGACACCGTCACCTGACCGCTACCCATGTCCACCCGGTACTTTCACCAACCGGTCGGACTTGTACGAAGAGGCTCAGTGCAGTACCTGTACACAAGGCTACTACTGCATCGGTAAGTCAAAGTACTTAAAGACAGGATGTTGAGACACATCAGTCAAACTGCTGAAAAAGATGTTGAGACATATGATAATTCAAAGTGCTCAAAAAGATGTTGAGACATATAAGTCAAACTGCTTGAAAGATATTGAGACACAATAGTCAAAGTGCTTAAAGACAGGATGTTTAGACTTATAAGTCTTAAAGAAAAGATGTTGAGGCATCAGACTTATAAGTCTTAAAGAAAGGATGTTAAGACATATAAGTCAAAGTGCTTAAAGAAAGAATGTTGAGACACATAAGCCATAAGTCAAAGTCAAAGTGCTTAATGACAGGATGTTTAGACTTTTAAAGTCTTACAGAAAGGATGTTGAGACATATAAAGTCAAAGTGCTCAAAAAGCTGTTGGGACATGTTAGTCAAAGTGCTTGAAGAAAAGATTTTGAGACACATCAGTCAAACTGCTTAAAAATATGTTGAGACATATAAGTCTAAGTGGTTAAAGAAAGGATATTGAGACACATCAGTCAAAGTGGTTAAGGAAAGGATGTTGAGACATATAAGTCAAAGGGGTCAAAAAGATGTTGAGACATACAAGTCAAAGTGCTAAAAAAACCTACCTTTGTTGATGTAGCCAGAGACTGAACCCACCAGCTTTTGATAGAAAGTCCAACACATTTCCTCTAACTGACAATGCCCCTAAAATAAATAAAAAAGGTGTCAGGTATCAGAAGGAGATGAAATTTAGTTCTCTCTCTCTCTCTCTCTCTCTCTCTCTCTCTCTCTCTCTCTCTCTCTCTATCTATCTCTCTCTCTATCTCTCTCTCTCTCTCTATCTATCTCTCTCTCTCTCTCTTTTGTCAAATAGACACATACACTCACCTGATTATTCCATTGTAATAGTATTTACTTATTCTCCATCCAGGTGGTCAGTCGGCAGAGACAGACACCTGTCCCCCAGGCTACTACTGTCCTGCAGGGACTGCCCACTGGTCAGATTACGGATGTCCAAACGGTACCTACAACTCCCTATATGGAAGGTGGGAGGAGTCACAGTGCCTGAACTGTACACTAGGTAGGTGAAAGTGGGGGGAGAGAGAGAGAGAGTGACAGGGGGAGAGAGAGAGTGACAGGGAGAGAGAGACAGAGAGAGAGAGAGAGGAACAGAGGGAGAGAGAGAAAGTGACAGAGACAGAGAGAGAGAGAGAGAGAGTGACAGGGAAAGAGAAAGACAGAGAGAGAGAGAGAGAAAGTGACAGAGACAAAGAGAGAGAGAGTGACAGGGAAAGAGAGAGACAAAGAGAGACAGAGAGAGAGAGAGAGACACAGAGAGAGAGACAGAGACTGAGGCAAAGAGAGGGGAAAGAGAGAGACAAAGAGAAAGAGAGAAGCGGAGAAAGAAATAACTGAGAGAAGACTGCATGTAAGATACATGTGTTCTGCGCTTCTTATCAATCGGCACAATCTTTGCACGTTTTAGTGATCGTAGCCTATAATTGCACTGCAATCTTAAGATTGCGCTGCACGTTTTAACAATCATATAATTGTATCATTCTTGTGAGCTCTTCAGTTTCATGAGATTATTTTGATTTTGATTTTAATTTTCATATCTTTACACTTTTGAAAATATAATTATGAAAATGTTCCTTGATGTGAGTAAAAGAATAAAGATGGAAGTGAATTTAAAAAAATAATTAATTAAAAAATATAGAATAAATTAAATGTACTTTCTGAACTTTGAGTTTGATACTTGACATTGTATCATTCTTGTGAGCTCTTCAATTAATTCATACATTAATTTTAATTTTAATTTTTGATGTTTACACACTTTTGAAAATATATGTGAATGTTCTTTGATTTGAGTAAAAGAATAAAGAAGGAAGTGAATTTAACAATTAAAAAAAAAATATAAAGTAATTTTAAGATTGCCACGCAATTATGCGATCGTTAAAACAGAACACATGTACTGTACATATTAGAAATCCAATGCTTGTCTGCACTATCTTCATCAGATATGAGTGCTTTAGACAGTCAAGTAAGTGTTCTTGGTTGTTGGTTTTTGGTTATATTAGATACCACCTTCAAGATAGGTTTACTATTCAAGGGACAACAACAACATTTTGATATCTGTCTGCTATATGGCCGAGCTGGCGCAGGAAGCATGGAAGAAACTCCCTTAAAAAAAAAAATCGAGTAGGGTTGCAGCAGAGATTAAACTTGGATTTCACTAGGAAGATTCTCAAATCCTGGGAAGTAGTTAATTGCACAGTATAAGAATATCTTTTCAAATAGACTGTCAGTAACATGGTTTCCTGTAATCCTTTTCTCCAGGTCAGTACTGTGAGTTTGCTGTCACCGTACCTGAAGACTGCCCAGCTGGCACTTACATGCCCTATGGAGAGGATGGATCAGGAAATGTTTTAGGTTAGCATTTGTTCTGCTGTACCTTTTAATTTTATAGGGGGGGGGGGGGGGTGTTGTATAAATATGTAGTGATTTTTCCGGTTTTGTAAAGGTTTTGAAACAGGGAGTGTAAACTAAATTCTTTAAATTCTTCTATTTGTTCAGAGAAAAATTGTCCTCGGCAGATGTATTGGTCATTGCCAGATATTGATGGAAGAGTCATTATCCTTTCCCTGAATCCTTGATGAATCTCAATCTATGAGGATTTAAGAGTTTATTTGAAGACAGGCTCATGATTTGTAGCTACAACAAACTTAATAGAAATTGACCACCATGTCCATTCCGTGGTGTGTCTGTGGTGCACCACCTGTGGGTGGTTGATGGGTGCTCTGGTGTGGTCTACTCCTCCTTTCATATCAAACATCTATCGTCCTTATCTCTCTACCTTCTTTTTGTGTTGGTTACTCTCTTATAACATCTCAAATCTTCGGCATTTATATGATCTTATTGTGTTGCAAGTGCTGTAAAACGCTTACTAAAACATAAAAAGCACTCCTGCCCAGTGTGTCTGTCACACTTCAATGCATGAGTAGTTGGTGGATGCTCTGGTGTGGTTTGCTCCTTCTTTCCTGTCAAAATCTATCATCCTTATCTCTCCTCCTTCTTTTATTTGTATGTTACTCTCTAGTAACAACTCTAACCTTCGGCACTTATATCACCTTTAATATTGCAAATGCTTTAAAAGTCTTGCTAATATAGGAATCAAAAATAAATGTTTAAAAATATCTTTAACAAGAAAAATGTTTGCTACAAGAACATGCCAAAGAAAAGTGAGTTTGTCAGAAGTGGTACACTAAACTAATACTTCCATGCTGTCTGTCATACAGGGGTACCTGCTAAAGGCGCCCCTGACTGCCTGGAATGTCCGGGCGGATCTTTCTGTGTGCAGAAAACCATCACTCCGGCTGACTGTAATGTTGGCTTCTACTCAGAGCCCGGGCAGTTCGGGTGTGAAGTTTGTGAAGCTGGGTAAGTTTCCTCCCCTCAGAAATGTGTGTCCATTTTTGTTGTTGTTAATATCATATCAGTAGTTTATAATACTGGCATTTTTTTGTCCTACTCAGCGACATATTATAATGTTTGCTGGTGCCTTGAAACTATAATTGTTGTTGTTGTTAATATGATCATATCTGTAGTTTATAATTCTTTATCTCCGGCAAGCCAATCCCAGTATCTTGCAGTCGGAACCACTGTGCCGGAGAGCCACTCAGGCACATTCCTGTACGACAACTTTGACATCAAATAAGTTTTTAGGAATGGCTGAAAACAGATCTCTTACATTTACTGGGAGTTCCAAGAGATGTATATTCATGTGACTTCTAAATTTTGTACCAAAAGAGGGCCTCGGTGTAGTGGGTTTATCCTCCCTCGGAGATAAAGAGTTAAATGAAGTATGTGGGGCAGTAGAGCCACGGGTAAACAAAGAGTAACATGGACTAACAACATCAAGACATGGACTGGCCTGGGTATAGCAGAATCTGCAGTAGCAGCTCGCGACCATGAATGATGGAGGGTCATTACATGTCAACCTCTGAGTCAGAGGTTACACCTCCTGGTGTCCAGATCAGTCTCCTGTGGATGTCCACTCTCACAGAATATAAAATCTTGAATTGCTTCTATTTGTGCCGGTGATAGTAAGGCTTACCTTGTTGAGTCCTAAGTGGGAAGACGGTCGTGTGCTCTTTCTGGGGCAGATTTCTGCCAGTGTCTCTGAGATAAACGTTTTCCTATATACCACTGTACATCAGCTTAATTCAAGACTTTCGATATTACTCTTAAGTTTGATCATTATTATCATCATTGTTCTTGTTCTTGTTCTTCTTGTTATTTTGTTATTTTTATTATTATTATTATTATTATTATTATTACAACTGATTGTGTCAGTCCTGGGTATAGCCTGCATAAAAAAAAATGTTATGTGGAGATAGGTGTCAGGAGTAATACACAGCAACAAATTAGAAAGATATAAAAGTTGCTCCAGTATGATTGAAAATGAAGGGCTTTTCCTATGAAGAATTTGATAGATCAAGTTAATTTTATACAGTAGCGCTTATTCTTTATAATGTACAATGGCTTTTACTGAGTTTGATTCTAGAAGCTCTTGGGAGCTTGTACATGTATACATCTTCTTAAATTTAGGTGGCGCTTTGGGTAATTTTTTTTGCTAAGAAGATAAAGAAGGAGGAAAGGGGATTGTTTTCTGAAAGTGGCAAATTTGTGTAAAGTCTGTCAGTAGATATAATAAAGATACTTCATGTCATACAGCAAGAAGCTTCAAGAAAGCAATAATCAAATTATCGTAATCTTAGAGCTGTAAAGACTTCATTCTTATATCATAGATGATATAAAAACAACTTACTATGCGCAATTCAGCACTTATTATATTTTCACAGATACTATTGTGACAATGCGACCACTTCAGAGACAGACATGCTGAACAACAAGAGGTGCACTGGTGGAAAATTCTGTACTGATGGTCTCACTTCTCTATCCTTGGCCACTGACTGCACCATTGGCAAATATTGTCCTGAAGGTATGGTGCTTGGACAACAAAACCTATTGTGCTGGAAAAAGAAACTTTCAAAGCTTCATGATTGATCAATTTGCTGTGTAGATAAGACCAGTTGTTGCACTTCAGATTTGAAAATGAGCTACATTTTCTCACTTGTGTGAGATGGAAACAAAGGGAACAAAAATTCCTTACAATAGTTTTTATCAAGTCGTAGAAATTCTCTTTGTATTTCCAGGTTTAGGAGATTTTTTTAGCTATCCATTTCAAAGAATAGTGCTTAGGATATGGTTTACCTTATCCATACACCCTGGGGTCATTTTGTACCCCTAGGGTTGTATTCTTCACGCTTTAGAATACTTCTAGTACGAAGATCTCTTTGAAACTTTCAGCATTTCTCAAAAAATCATTTTGACAGACTGCAATGCAAAGCGTGCGGATCGGATTAACGAGTAAATTTCTTCTTTGGAAAGTGGTGGCACAGATTTCTCCACATCGTATGGATACGAAAGTAAAACACGACGTACGGATAGGGTTAATGTATTTCTAACTTGCTTTTCTTTATTTTTTCAAAACATTTTTCCTACAGTCAGATGGGAAATGAGAGGTCAATGGAATAATTTATAATTATTTGCAACCCCCCTCCCCCACACTGGAATTTTGGTTTGGAATAGGAAGTTCTGGTTAAGAGAACACTGATTTTGAATGGACTAGGAATGAAAAGTACTGCTTGGAAAAGTTTTGAGAAAATGTTTATTCAATACAGTGTGAATTTACTCTTGAATTGGAGTATTTATGACCTTATAAAAATGTTGGCGGATGGAATACAAATGATGGTGCAGTTGCATAAAATAAAGAGACTAAACAATACTGCTTTAAAATTGGGCAATTGTAAAGGTTTCAGTCTTTGTGAAGCCAAATGGAGTTCCTTCATAACTTGTTTCTTAGAAAGGAAAAGAAAGAATAACTACTTTTCTCATTTTTGTATTGAAAGCCTTAGCCTATTCCAAGACTGTAGTGATTATTCTTTCCCAAGTGTAAAGAAATAAGGAAAGTTTTCAAAACCTGAGACAGAAGTTGAAGTGTCATATGTGAGGCAGCGTGGTGAGTGGTGAAATCAGGTGCTCGTCAACACAATGACAGTGAAGAAACTGGCATTTTTTCCTCTGGTTTTGGAATTTATATCGGATATTTGTTTTTTTGCTCAACACCTTTCATACCCATTAAAGAACACATTACTGTGTGGATTTTACTGAAAAACGTTGATTAAAGGCACAAAAGATGTAAATTTTCAGTTTTCACAGACTCTCAAGCAATGAAAATAACCAAACTTAGGTGGCCATTTTCTACCTTTGAAACCAAGCAACCTCACCTTCTTCAATCTCAAATATCGTGACTTTATTCAAGACTGGCGGGGTTTTTTTTTGCTAATAGCAAGACTACTGAACAAGCTTAAAGTTGATACCAATAATTCTACATGCTCAAAAATTGACAAGTGCCTGATTCCACTGAGTCGTGACAGAATATATTACTTTGAGCGTTCCTTGTCTTGTTTCTCAGCTACTCCGGAAGAGCTGAACTGCCCTGTGGGTACCAAGAGAGAGACAGTTGGAGCTGCTCTCGTGACTGACTGCCACAGCTGTGACGCAGGCTTCTACTGTGCTGAAGGGTCCACCGACGAGACGGGCCCCTGTGAGCGCGGCTACTACTGTCCCACTGACTTCACAAATCCTTACGCAGCCTCCCCTCCCACAATTGGCTCATACGGGCCTCAGCAGGTAATGATGTCCTTTCCGTGTACTTCTTTGGACTCTTTTTTTATAGTTTAGCTGAGTAGTCTCGTAATGCTAAAGATTGCTTCCTAAACTTTTTCTTTTTGTGCTTTGGGATAGATTGTCAGAATAGAATAAAGAAAATTAGAGTGTTTTGTGAAACTTTTGTATGACTAAACGCTAATGATGGGAAGTGTCTTATGGAGGACATGGTGGATTTGTTTCTGAAGTAATTCACGTCAGCTTGTAAAGGAAAATGTATATAAATTTTGTATGTAGGAAACTAGACTCCTTAAAAAAACTTTTGTTTCTATTTGAAACAACTTTTTCTTGTTTAAAAAAAAACTAAAGTAAGTGAGATTCTTTTCCTTCCTGAAAATCCTTCCTGTAACTTAAATGTACAATCTGGGTTAACCTAAGCACACATCCAAGTGTGACTACCTTTTCCCATCTGTGCACTGAATGCAATCTTAGCATACAATGATGTACATGTACATCATAGCAGTCACCGAACACTAGCGCCAGTACACAGGTCCTAAAGGTTCAGAGGCCAGGCAATGTTTAAAGGGTTTTACAGTGTTTGTTTATTTTTGTAAGGTTTTATGGTGCTCGCAAATGCAAAAGGTCATATGAGCGCCAAGGGGTGGATGTCAACAGTGAAGTCCAAACGGGGAATGAGACTGACTCTGCTCACCTCTCTAGCCTCAACAGCACAAAGTCTCTTTCGACTTTCAAGGCACCCCGGAAATAGTAGTTCACAAGACAGTGACAAACATACAAAAGAATTAAAAGTCTACAAAAAAATTAACAGTCTAGCAAATAAAAAATTATATCATGTTCTCTATCTTTTTTCTTTAGGAACCATGCCCTGCTGGCAGCTACATGGATGAAACCGGTGCCCAAAATGTGTCGGTGTGCAAGCCGTGCCCGATGGGTCAGTACTGCCCCCAGGCCAGCATCAGCCCCATCGACTGTCCACAAGGCTACTACTGTGAGGCTGAAGTGGGAGAACCTGCACCTTGTCCCACTGGTCGCTATGGAAATGATACAAGTAATATATTATTGTCATATTTAAAGTATGTCTTGGCCCTTTTTGTCATTCCTTAGTCTTAGGGACATAGGAATGAAAGAGGTAATGCACATGCTCTGAAATAGAGAAGTTCTTGTTTGGTTCCTGATTTTTTAATATTATGTCAATGAGGAATTTTCTTACGTTTTCAGTACCAGTGTTAAAGTTGCGAGTCCAAGAGCCTAACCGCTTATCCTATTGACATGCTTCGTCTTTACTCAACATAGATGTCTTTCCTCCCCCCGTGACGTTACGATTGTGAGTCCGAGAGCCAAACTACTAATCCTATTGACATACTTCTTCTTTACTCTACCTCAATTTCTTCCCTCTCTCCCCCCCAGGATTGACCACTTTGACAGACTGCCCGTTGTGTGACCCTGGCAGTTACTGTGACGCCCCAGGCCTACTGCAGCCCAGAGCTCCTTGTGACCCTGGCTATCTCTGCTACTCTGGCGCTAAAACGTCTGGCCCCATAGACGGTGTGACAGGAGTGTTGTGCCCTGCAGGGGGATATTGTGTTCTTGGTAGGTCTTGTTTTGCTTATTTTATACTTGTCGTTGTTTACTAGTCAGGGTAGTCAGTTACCCAGACGAACATGTCAATGGCCGTCAGTCAGGTTTCTACATAACTTTTACCGTAACACTATAATAATTATGTGCTGGCAAAAAAGGTCCGATTAACAAATATTTGGTTTAGGCTGTATTTTAGAGCTGAAAGCTTACATTTGAGGGCTATAGTCAGATGGTTCATGACAAAAAAAACCAAAAACAAAACAAAAAAACTTTTATGATTTTTTTAAAATATAAAAAATATTGAAAGAAAAATGGCCAAAAATGGGAGCCAAAAATTTCTTTATTGTGTTCTTTTTTTGTCCAAGGCTTTTTTGGGGGGATTTTCATTACATTTGCAGGTAGACACTACGAGATTGTTATAAAACTTTGTAGTGCGGATCTTTTTGATTGAATAATTATCTGAAAATTTACTTTTGCCCCTAGAATCTTTCTTTTTAACCTGAAATGCCCTTAATGGAGGGAATTGTTATAGGAAAAGTTTCTTTGTTGCTGCATATTGAGACAAGTGATGACCAATAAGTAACATTGTGATGTAGACTGAGTTTTAACGTGTATGTCTTTATTTTGAGGGAAACAATGTCACTTAGTATAATTGTGTACCTTATGTTTCCAGATATTTTAAAAGCCTTGTAAAATTTGTCTTTAGACTCAAAGCCAAGTATTTCAGTTTTAGTCGAAACTGTTATCAAAACATAGCTATAGTAGTACAGGAACACTTGTTAGAAATTGCAAGGGTCAATATAGATGTGAGTGAGCTTTCTTGAAAGTTATTTTCACAAAAACAAAATGCCATGCTTAGTGTCACATAGTATTTAATTACTTTAGATATTAATAGATAAAGGTAAATTCCTTTAGATGAAATCAAAATTATCAAAATTATCTGAAGATTGGAATAGATTTCTATTGTCAGTAGTAATTCTGGGACCTTTACAGGGCGTGGGGTTTATTTGCTACCGCACGGTTGTTAGAACTTGCACTTAAACAAAGAGCCTTTATTGTGGGTGGTTGGCAGGTACTCTGATGTGGGCTGCTCCTTCTTTCCTATCAAGCACCTGTCATCCTTATCTCTCCTGCTTCTTTTTTGTGTTTGTTACTCTCCTATAACACCTCTAGTCTTCGGCCCTTATATGACCTAATTATGTTACAAGTGCCATAAAAGACTTACTTAAACAGAACAGGACCCTTTGTATTATGTACATATATTCTCGCCAGGTTCCTATGTGGCAGCCCCGTGTCCAGCAGGCACATACAGCAACGTCACCGGGGCGGTCAACAACTACGACTGTTTCGAGTGTGATCAGGGCTACTACTGCTCCTCCATCGCGGGTGGGGAGCCCACAGGCATGTGCTGGGGGGGCTACTACTGCACCGGTGGGGCCCGAACTCCAAGGCAGAATATCACGGACCCTGGTAAGTTTCTTATTTTTTGGATGTTTTCCAAGATGACGGATTGGTACTGTGGACATTTTAAAACTTTGTTGTCATAGTTATAGTAAAGAAGTAAGTAAGTAAGTTTATTTAGTATTTAAGGCCATTGGCCTACTTCAAAGCATATAAAACACTCATTTGTTAAATAAAGTTTCTATATGAAAGTGTACAAACGTAAGAAAAGAAGACCAAAGATGACATGGAGACAAGTGGTACAAGGGGAAATGGAAAATGCGGGGACATAATGGAAACAGCTAGAAAAGGATGCACAGGACAGCTTCGCCTCTCACATAAGGGTGAATTTATTAATTTCCACTGATAGAGATTGTTATTTAATGGCAGGCTTACAGTTATCGTAAAGAAGAAAGTATTTTGTAAAGAATGTTTTTACGATATGATAAGAAAATACAGTGAAATTATCTGTAATGTAAATCTTTGGCTGCTGGAAAAGTGTAATAAAACCTGAGCACGAAACAAGTTTGATAAGGTTGCAGGTTTAGGGGGTTCGAGCCACGGGCCTGATGTTGTGTCCCTGGGAAAGGCACTTTACACAAATTTTCCTCCCTTCACCCAGGAGGGAATGGGCACCCGGCCATAGACAGCAAAAGATCTTGTCAGTATGTTAGTGTTTTAGCACCCATAAATGGCAGCTTTCACTGCATGCTTCCCAGGAAGTTGAGGTTGTTTCAGAATGTTCTCAGGTCTGCTGGGGTAATAATATATATTGTAAAGCACATAGAGCTTGCTGTTGAGTGGGGATTTGCGCCATACAAATGCTATTTATTATTATTATTATTGTGAATATAGTTTCAGACTCGAGGTCTTTTCACTATTCCAGGTTACTACTCTCCTAATGGGTCCGCCTCACAGATAGAGTGTGAGATTGGCCATTACATGCCATACCCAGCGTACAGCTATTGCTTCGAGTGTGATCCAGGATTCTACTGCCCCAACAAGACCATGACAGAGCAGATTGCGTGCCCTGAGGGCTTCTACTGTGGCAATGGTAGCTACGTACCCCTAGATTGCCCGCCCGGAACTTTCTCTAACAAGTAAAACACAATTTATATACATAGCTTTAAATAATTTGTTGTTTTTGTGTAAATATGTGTCATGATGCGGTGGAATCAGGCAAATGGAGTTATATTATATGTATCATCTTAAAGCTTGTTCATTTATCTTGATTTTGAAAAAAAATACTTCCCATCTTTTTTCAATAGAAGTCAAAATATTTCGGACAGAAAGAGATGTGGTTTCAGAGGTAAAGCTAGCGAGAAAATGGCTACCAAAGTTTGGCGACTTCCAAAGCTTGAGAGTTGTTGAGAATTGCAAATTTGCATTTTATGGGTCTTTATTCACAGTTTTTCTGTAACATCCACACAGAAATGTGTTTTTAAATGGACGTAAAAGATGTTGAGCCTAAAAAAGAAAATTGGAAAAAAAAATGCCCAAGGGCTAGAAAAATGTCAATTTCTTTGGCTTCATTACTTTGAAGAGTGCCTGATTTCACCATACTGCATCTCAATAATTTATACATTGCCTTAAATATTTTGTTGTTTTTTAAATAAATATATTTATCTGGTATTATGACTTATACCTTCAGAATCTCACAATGTGCAGATGCATTTTTAGTAATGTTTAACAACTGAAATTCAGGGGTTATGGTTCTTCAAAGCTGCCCGCTTCAAAAACAGAAAGACAAAAGAATTTCTTTGTCACCTCTTCTGTCAGATTAAGGGTAACAATGTCTTAGACCAATAGCATTGTATGTGATAAAGCTTTATGTATGTGACTGATGTGTATAGAAAAGACAGAGAAAACTGGGTGTATATGTATGTGTGTGTGTGTGTGTGCGCGTTTGTGTGTGTATGTGTGAGAGAGAGAGAGAGAGAGAGAGAGAGAGAGAGAGAGAGAGAGAGAGAGAGAGAGAGAGAGAGAGAGAGTGACTTAGTGAGTGAGTGAGTGAGAGAGAGACAGAGAGAGAGAGAGAGAGAGAGAGAGAGAGAGAGAGAGAGAGAGAGAGAGATATGCCCAATACTTTCACAAGATTTCACCATTTTACTGTCTCAGTTCTATCAGAACCCATATGGCACGGTTAGATAACAGCTCAATCTCGACAAAGCAGTCATACACCATTTTTAAAAGTGACGTATAAAAGAGTCTTACACTGAGCAGTCAGTCAATCCGTCCTATGTACACTGCAAAAACAAGTGCTTAGAGAGTGGCGCTGGTAGTTCCTACTTCTTTTCTTTCCTTTTGTTGTTTCTGTTTATCTATCGATCTTGTTCTTTATCCGCTTTAAATGACCATTGTTGTGTAAGTAGTTTTTCTTTATTCGAACAAACAAATATACACTGCAGATACGTATGTGAGTTAGAAAAGTCTGTATGGTGAAAATAATTACATTCAAAATTTTATTGTCTAAGATGGCCACCTATTGTTGAGGCGGGACACAGGTGATGTTTATCTAAAAGACTTTTTTTGGGGGGGGTCTAAATACCCCCCCCCTTTTTAAAAAAAGGGGGGGGGGGGGGGGGGGCGGGAGGGGTGTGGTTGGTTTTTAAAAAAAATCTTTTGGTAAGGTTTTACGGCGCTTGTAGCTGCATTTGAGCGCCAATGGGTGGATGTCAACAGAGAAGTCCAAACAGGGAATCAGGCTTTCTCTGCCCACCTCTCTAGCCTCAACAGCTCAAAGTCTGCTTCGTCTATCAAGGCATCCCGGAAATACCAGTTCACAAGAGAGTGACAGACATACAAAAGAAGTAAAGAAAAAATGACGATAATGAGGATGAGGAAAGAAAAACCTGCAGTTCCCCCTATGTGGTTCCGGCACAGTATGAGTATGACATTGATAAATCAGCCCATTCACAATTCTACTATGCATAAGAACATATTAATATCCCCCCTTTGGGAATGGCCTAAAGATGATTGTCTTGGCTAGGTAGTCGTTAAAGAGGGTTTGACAGTAGTTACACTTACCCCCCATTGTTTTATCTCTGTCTGTCTGTTCTCCCAGGACACACCAAGTGTCTGTTGACAACTGCACAATATGTCCCGCCGGTTACTACTGTCAAGACAACGGTGCCACAGGCCCGACGGGCATGTGTAAGGCTGGACACATCTGCTACGAGGGCGCGCTCGACGATGACCCTGTGTACAACGACGATGCCTCCAACAACAACACCATCATCACCTGGGGAGACACGTGTCATGCTGGGTAGGTGTTGATGGCTGTTAACTGATTCAGCCCGCAGCGCCGCTCACAGCAACTGGCTATCTCTTGTTTTTTTACGCAGAGCCGGCTCTTATCTATTTCTCCCTTTTCTTCGCTTCACTTTCCTCTCTTCTTTTTTCCCAACTGCTTACATTTCAACCCTTTTTTCTGGTGTCATTGAATAGTATTTTTTCTATTCTGAACATATATATGCCACTTTTAAAGGTTTTATCAAATTCAGATATTTCTTTATTTTTATGAGACTATCCATGATGTCAAGAAGCGGTCACAAATTATTTGCTGGCTGAATTAACTTGAAAGAGCTGCTCTGCTTTTTGACACACGCATACACAAGAACACACATGTGGGCAAACACTTGAACACACGGATAGACAGACAAACAAACGTGCAGGTGGACATATAACCTCCTGGACAGACACACAAACTCACATATGGGTGAACATATGAATACCTAGACAGACACACAAACACATGTGGGTGAACACATAAACTCCCGGACAGACACACAAAGCAAGGGTCCACAGTGTAATGGTTTGACTCTTTTAACCTAATTCTTAAAGAGCCTGACTTCAGTTCTCAGGTTGGAAAGGTGTTACCATCTATAATTTTTCTTCTGCTTTCATTTTGGGTGTATCCTATCAACTGGGTTGACCTTGTCTGACAGGGCGAAGAATCCAATCTCCTGAATGATCTAACGTGTGTCACTCAGGGTGAAAATATTTGCAGCAAAGTAACAAAACATCTAGTTTGATTCACACTTTTGTTCTATATATCTTATATTTGTGAAGTGTACTGACAAGATGAGCTACTTCTCGGATTTTAGACTAATTGAAATCAACTTTATAGGTAAAATTTGCACAATTTGCAATTATGGAATAATAAAAAACACGGTAGGCCAAAAGTTGAAAAAAAAAAAAATGGCATCAATTGTCAATTTTGGGCTAATCTCTCTATTTGAGAATTGGGAGCACGGCGCACCGGCAGTGGAATTTTAGTTGCTGCGGGGGGTTCTCCGCCGGGCACCTTATCACGTCGGGTCACGGGGGTCAGCTCCTTGTCACCGCTCTGTCTGGGCCGACTTAATTTTTGGTACTTTTCAACGTATAAATTTAGGTGTATCCTTGTATTTATGGTAATTCTCTTTTAGTGCACCCAAAGCATGCATTTCTGCTCTTGAGACTAAAAAAAGAACGGACGTTGTAACTTGTCTGGTTATTTCGTTAGACGCGCTGGAGTCGGCAATGCTAAATTGTAATTTTTTTGGGACAAAAAAAATCAATTTAAAAAAAGGCCTGGAACATGAACGACATAGCAATGGTGCAGATACTCAGAAAAGATGGTATCTGCGCATATAATAGAAAGCTGTAATTTTGCAACTTTATTCATCGGGTACACAATTCGCTATGAAGTAATTCCTCCAAATACAACTTTATGTGTCTAATATTATAATCGTGAATATTCGCATGTTTTCTCAAAAGTTTATAACAGTTACCATGAAGTTTCTCTATGAAAAGTACAAATCGATTTTAGTGCCAGAATACATCTTCAATGTTAAACATAAACAGTATCTGTTACACTGCAGAAATTCCTTACTTTTCTTAAAACGCTAAGTCTAGGTTTTGTAAGTTGAGTGAGTAATAGAGATGACTTCTCGTAATTGGGTTATAAGAATAATTTCTAGCTTTCCAGGGACACTGAATCAGCACCAGACTTTTCCGGCTTTATTTTTCGTTTCTATGACCATTTGCAATAACTGACAATGTGACTGATTTCTTTACATTCATAATTGTGTCCGCGCATATTTCCCACACAAAAACTAAGAATGAATGTGTTAGCTGTCATTATTTTTATTCCATAAGAGAAGTTTATCTCTACCCATGTATTTGCACGGTTTTGTGGGTTTTTTAAATCGCTTATATTATATCTTTTTAGTTGTATGCAGGCTGCCACAGACACAGCATGATTCATGAACAACCACAGAGTAACTTTCTCTTGTTTAATAGTAAAATAAGAGCTAACGCTGATCGTCTTTAGTTAAATAATGCAGATTTGTGTCTTTCGTCTCTTATAACTTGACTGTTACTACTCGCGCAGATTTAAGATTTTTCATGGTAAAAGACATGATTTTCGTAGTCAGTTTAACACAGATTTTGGAGAGATCTGTCATGCCTTTATAAAACTAACAATCATTTATTCATTAGTTTGTAACTAAAATGGGAGAAATTGGGTACTCAACAAACACTTGTCTAGAACAAAAACTAAGGCACAGAAATTAACCATTCTAATGCAGAATAAATCTCAAGACCTTGAGCTTTTAGTTCATCCTTGTAATGGTTTGCTGTGTGGAATGGGGAAGAAGTTATCTCGTTTTAAAAATAGTCAAAAATGTGAACTTCCTAACCGACACCGGCAAAGTCGCTTCAGGGCTCATTAACCCCGTGACCCGGAGCCTGAGAGCTCCGGCGGGCTGCTGAGTCACGCTAACTAAAAGTAACAGAATCGGGCGAAAAGTGACGCCGTGGGAGAAGTTGCTCATTTTGTCAGCACGCCTCACATTTCATTGTACTCATGGCTTGCCACTGTGATGTAATGATTGTGAACTGGATTTGTCTGGAAGAAGACGGGGGTTTGAATCCAAATGATGTCTAAATTATTTCACTCCTCATTCCTAGTATACATCCTCCCGCTCCAGAGTCCTGGCAGTAGACAGAATGTTTAACCTTCAAAACCACTGGCATTATGGATGCATTAGACAAGTCTTTTTTTAATCAGATTGCCTGAGGAAACTTTTATTCAATAAAACTCTGCCATTATTTCACAGGTATTACTGCCCAGAAGGCACCGCGTTCATGATTCCATGTCCGAGAGGGACTTACAACCCAGACAGAAGTGGCCAGTCGGAAACTGCAGACTGCAAACAGTGTGATCCTGGGAAGTACTGTAATGGGACGGCCCTCACTGAGCCTACAGGTACTTGTTGATACTGCTTTTCTTTCATTCACTGTGCTTATAGATGGAGAGAGGACATCAATCTTTAAACGGGGTGCCCATTGCAGATGGGATCGGGTCGGGGCGATCGCCCCCACTCTTCGCCTGAAAACAAACGTGTTTGTTTTGTTTGTTTTTTAGATGACAAGTTAGACGCGATCGGCTTGTGCCACAATAGCCGCTTTGCGCCCTGAATCGGTTGAACAAACTGCCCTGACCCGACCCAATCCCCAATGGGCACCCCGTATTAGATGAACTTTATTTTATTTATTTTCCATAAGTAGAAATTAACATAATTATTTTACTTTCACCAACTTCAATAAGACAAATGAAATTATGACTTTGTACTAACAATATAAATTAGGACATTCACTTCAAGGATGCACAAATGTACACATACTTACATTAAAGATAATCACTTGCAAAAACATATTCAAAAGTCAAACTACCTCTGTCTGTCTGTCTGTCTGTCTGTCTGTCTGTCTGTCTGTCTGTCTGTCTGTCT